CTCCTCTCATCCACGACCTTGTTACCACCCACCCTACGGCTCAAGGTCTCGTAGAGCCGGCTCGCGTAACAGTGCATGCTCTTGAGCAGGTCGCTGTCGGGCAGAATATGCCGGCCGCTTTCCGGCAAGTCCCGCTCATTGGCCCAGTAGATATCCTCCTCGGCGTATCGGGTGGGTGCGCGTCTCCGGCGGAAGAGGACCTCTTCGGGCGCGAGACGGGCGTCGCGGGTGTTGTGCGGGGCGCTGTGCAGCGGCGGCTGCTGGGCAGAGGTGCGGGATTCGTATGTGGTTACTTGTCCTGTTTTGCATATATCGTGAGCATGTGTGCATGACTGCGTATGTTCGTACGTACCTGCGACTGCGTCGTAGACACTGTAATCACGGCTTCGATGGTGGCCGGAGTATTTGGATCTTGCTGGAGGAGGTGGGGAAGACGACATCTTCCTGATAGATAGAGTGATGTTTTGATTGAACAAACTAGGAGGCTTCAGCCACCAGGGGATACTCGACGCCGTGTACTGGATGGGTCAAATGGCATTGCAGCTAGCGATGCAGAGCTATTAGAAAATCAATCAAGGGTGAGAAACTGGAACGAGGTAATGGTGTATTTGTCAAAGCATTGGTAATATAATCCGTAATAGTAAGTATTTCGTTTTCTTGCGAATATGTGAGGGCTGAAGGTGGGAGCTCCCGGCAGGTTGAAGTTTTAGTGTGACACAGCGGGCCCGGGGTATCTGCGCTGCTAGGGACGCGCTGGAGTCCGCCTCCGCACCCGCCGCCGACAAAGACCTGCACAAGGAACCTCTCCACCCGACCATGTCGGATCCGAAGTTCATTCCCCCAACAGACCACCCTCCCGGATCCCACATGTCGAGTTCGAAAACACATGAATGAATCAGCTCCTGTTTGAGCAGTCGACGGGCAACATCTCGCCCAACGTCTTTGCCCGGCTTGAGACAACCAAGCTGCTGAGCTCGTTCCGCCCGGCCCCACGGTTCCGCTTCGATGGCGGGGAACGCCCTGTCGCCGTCGCCGGAAGCAGCTCGGCAGCAGCGCCGGGGTCAAGCCAAAGCGAGGCTGGCGGTGGCACTGACAGTTCAAGCAGCACTTCTATTTGGGCACACCAAGCGGGCGTGAATGTCCTCGCTCTGGAGCGGTTTGACGGCAGAATGCAAGTTCACAATCACAACCATTATTGTAATAATACTTTGGAATAATACTGAAAGCTGAAAGCTGACACTTATTGAATAGACTTATTTCCGGCGGCATAGACGCCACCATCAAGATCTGGGATCTCGAGCAGTGCTCCAACCCCACGCCACCACACACATACCGGCCCGTGGCTACCATCTCCCGTGCCGAGCAGCCCGCTTCTTCTCCCAACACCACCGCCAACCGGAGACTGGGAGGCGGCAGTACTAGCTACACCACCCCCAAACCCCCGCCAGGCGCCGGCCACCGCTTCGGCATCACCCACCTCTCCTTCTACCCCTTCGACAGCGACGCATTTCTGTCCTGCTCGTACGATCAGACCCTCAAGCTCTGGTCAACCGCCACCGCCCGGGTTTCCGGCTCCTTCGACCTCGGCGCAAAAGTCTATACTCACGCCGTCTCGCCCATCGCCTCGCATCTCCTCGTCGCCTGCGGGACCCAGCACCCGGCCGTCCGGCTCGTGGACCTCCGCTCCGCCGCCGCCGTCCAGTCGCTCATCTCGCCCGGCCAGATCGGCGGGTCCGCCGGCGCCACCCTTGCCGTGGCCTGGTCGCCGGTGCACGAACATGTCCTCGCGAGCGGCGCCGTCGACGGCGCCGTGCGTATTTGGGACGTGCGCAGGTCCAATGGGCTGGTAGGTCTATTAGATATGGAAGACAGCCTGGGGATCCTGCACCCCGGTCGGGCGCCGCCGGCTGGGACTGCCGAAAGCCTCCTCCAGTCCAGGGGCGTCCGCCAGTCCGCCCGGGCGCATAATGGTCCTGTCAACGGGCTCACCTGGACGGACGATGGGGCGTATATTGTGTCCGCTGGACATGATCGCAAGATTAGGGTGTGGGATGCTGCTACCGGCGCCAACACTCTGGCCAACTTCGGGCCGACCATCCGCAATAGTCACATTGGTAGTCTGGGGAGCAGTATGTTTGTGTCCCCGCTGGGCCTGACGCGGGCGAAGAAGGAACTGCTTTTCTTCCCGAACGAGACCGAGATACTTGTTATGGACCTGCATGAGGGTGATATTGTTTCCCGGTTAAGGGGCATGGGGCCGGGCATGGCTGCCTTGAGGACGGGGAGAGCAGGGGGTGAGAGGGCGGTTAAGAATCGGTTAACCAGTGGTGAGTTATTTGTTATTAGCGCTGCTATATTCATGAGTATATATCACAATTCACTAACACAGACTCTAACGCGAACACAGTTGTCTGGAAAGGAGCCGGTGGAGGTGGTAGCTCAAGCGGGCATGTTATGGGCGGTAGAAACGCCGCCGGTGGCATTTACAGCGGCCATCTGGATGGGCAAATCCGGGCCTGGATGCCTCGGCTCGAGGGCCTGGATGAAGAGGACGAAGATAATAGTACCCAGGAGGCGGCTGAGGTTCGCACCAAGAAGCGAAAAGCTCTCGATGACGCGTTCAAGAGCTTGATGGGCCGGCAGGTTACGTTCAATTAAATTGAGATTAAGTGTTGGGGATTTGCTGGCCTGTTCGTGTCTGTGTTCATCTTATCCATCCAATATGAACGAACGATAACTTTTACATAGTCTGGCTGATTTACCTCTGCGCAGTACATGTATGCCCGGTCAAGGGTCGACCACCGGCCTGTTACAACGACAGTTCCTCTCTTGTTTCTAAATCCGCCGTCTACCCTGTCGACGCACATCTCGCGGCCGGCCGCATGTTCTATGATAAAAGAAAAGCAAGGTAGTTATCAGAGATCATCTGCAGGGAGCAGCCGGGGGCACAACCAACAGACCTGCTTGGTAATGCAGGTGAAAAAACATGGTACCATGATGACGCTTCACCGGTCTGCCTAGGTACGGACATGGGAAATGTAGACGTTGTCGTCCCATGAATGGACGTTGGGTGGATAAATGTGCCCGCATATCCGTATATGCGGCCGCCCATCTCTCAAACAGATCATCATGGCATTGTATTCATGTACCCAAGTATCATTGAAGTCACCGTCGACATGGGGAAATACTAAACGCAGAATACACATTGTGCCATTTCTAAGTCCATATCAAAAAAGGCCTGAGTGTCGTCGGAGCGGCGCTTGTCGTCGCAAATCACACAATCAATAAGCGGTATCCAATGAGGATCCTTACCGAGCCTGCCGTCCGTCCGGCTGCGGTTGTTCCATTCGACCATTGAAAAATCCAACTGCAGAACAGGAAAGATGGTATCAACTGTGCCATACCTAGTGAATAGAAGCCGTCCAACCAACTTCATATACCTCAGTACAGTCCTACATAGGAACACACAGACGCACACCTGCTTCAAAAAGCCACCAACATAAACATTTCCCACACACACATGTGCAGGCTGTCGAAAGAAACTCGGAATCGAACCGCGAGTGGTTGTGAGCGGCCGGTTGCAGATGCATGTGCTGCAGCAGCAGTCTGCAGACGCAGACTTTGGGAGAATGGAGGCCGGTTGACCGGTTCGGTCTGCTTGCCGCCGGGGAAGCATACCCCCTGGCTTCCGGGCCTGCACGTCTCGACTCGCTCGGGGCGGGCTGCTCGCGCTAAAACAAAGGCTGGGGGCGCTAGAACGAAGGTCGTGCAGTTCGTTCGTTCCCATTCTTCAGCCCTGTGGTAATTAGCTTGCAGCCACCATAACACGAACGTTGTTGAGTTCCTTGCCGTGTCCGACACGCCGGTATGCTTATGTTAAAGATTGCGAATCATCAGAGGCTGGGCTGGGAACAGGCAAAGCTCAGTGTTGCCTACCGTGGGAGGGTTCTCTTTGACCCAAGTTTGTCCCCATATTAATGTCGTGTCTGTCCGAGCATGATTCGATAGTTTGGTTGCGGTTGGTGATTCCATCCGCAGTGACTCTCCATCTGGAAACAATACCTGCTTACGGATAGATAGGTCTACCTCATGTTGGTTGCATCGCATTGCTGAGTGGCTTTCTTCTTGTCGTTATGTTTTGTAGCCAACCCTGCCATTAATGTCTCGTTCTGGGAAGCAGATCGCGTCTCAAACCCGCTTACTACTAACTTAGCATTCCATATACCCCCGGATATCAAAGGGGGAGGGCTCGGGCCGTCTATCTCGGATCGGATCTTCGCATTCTCTCCGCCTCCGCGTCCAAGATACCGATATCCACACCTCTATTTCCCTGTTATATCCGACATCTCTTGTTTGGTACTCTGTAGTACTCGGTGCATGAAGCAGTCATGTTTGCAGCGCAGCAGGTCTGTCTGTCTGTCTACATGTGTGTGTGTGTATGTGTGCATTGATACATGGGGCCCCGAGACCAGCTCCGTATCCGAGGTAGAAGTCCGAATCAGTCGAGGTCATGAAAGAGTAGTTTCTTGGATGTACGCAACAAGTCAGAGACAAAAGGACAGACCATTACTGCTAATGGCCTGCTTGTACATACATTGACGCATATCAAGTGTTAATATCAACCACGTTGCACACTTACCAGGTTGTAGGTATCGAGACGCACCTGACTAAATAGCACAGCTTTAAACAGCTCAGTACAATGATGCGGCGGGATTTCCAGAGAGGAGACACATGATCTAACCATGAGCTTGATCCATCTCCGTTTACGAGAAAGAGGGTGAATCGCAGGATGTGTTATATAAAACCTAGGGAAATGTATATCATGAGGTCGTCATAACCATAAGACCAGGTACATATCAGAACAGGGTGTGCCAGGCAAGCAAAAGAGCAGCCAATGTTGCGTACAATACCAAACACTATATTTCATTATCATATACTGTAGAATCTGCTTACTGGCAAGTAAAAAAGAAGAACAGCAACTACTGTGTTGTATAGTTTCTCTCTCCCGCCGGGAATTGAACCCGGGTCCCGAGCGATGACAGTCGGGCCCTAAGGGGGCGGTTTTGACAAGCTCATATACTGACCACTATACTACGGAAGATTCTATTGCAAGTGTGGACACTCGCCGTAGCTGGCTGCTGCTCGTTCATTGTTGGGAATTCTAATGGGTCTACGAGTATATAGAGTGTTCGTGTGGGCTGCTAGTGGACTCAAGTATATGGAGTTGTTGATAAGCGTTGATGTTTTACGAGTCAGTCGGTCTGTGGACTCGGCTTGTTTGTGTAGCCTCGACATCCACATGTCAGTTTATCAATAAGTTTTGCGTTCAATCCACACCTGGCGCAACAATTATGAAGACTCGGTAAAAGTATGGCAAACTAGTCTTTTTGTGAGGATTGATTGCTATTTGCTCATAACGAAATAGGGGCTATGCAACCGCGTCCGCAGAAGCAACCGTGATTTGAGGTAAAGCTAGGAAAGGTGGTATTTGCTCTCTAATCGTACAGGTACAGATGAGATGTACCGAAAACAAACATAAGGAAAAGTGAAAAATGTGTGTTCATAACCATTCATACACTCATTCGTTCACACTCGACCGGCCCTTTAAATACCGCTGAAAGTCTCCTGGGAGGTCTTGACACTGTTCCTCCTCTCCCGGTTGTGGTGCTTGTGATCATGCTCGATCACCGGGTCGCCAATGTGTTCCCTAAGAACTGACGGAGGAGCCTGAGCAGCGTCTGTGGGGTCGCGGTGGTGGCTCATCATTCCAGAAGATCCAGATCTATTTTTGAAGTCTTCAGTTAGCTATCGTGTTCGATTGACCGGAAAATCGCAACTGTGCTGCATACTTACTTACTGGTAAGTCTTGTTACCTCCCATGGTCTTGCTGCCATCGAGGTCGGAATCGACACGCGGGTCGACCTTGTTGAGCATGTCGCTCTTGTGTGGGCCAGCAGTGTTGTGCGCGGGTCCCGGGGCAGAGTGGCCGATACCGGCACGGCCGTCACGGTCAGAGTCGACGCGGGGATCCGCGGCGTTGGCCATGCGCGAGCCGTGCGGGCCGTGGGTACCGGTGGAAGCACCGTGGGTGCCGGTCATTCCGGTGGTGCCGGAGCCGATTCCACCGCTGTGGGTGTTATGGGTGTGGTGAGTGTTGGAGCTGCCCCAGTTGTTGCCGGTGCTGCCTAGGCCGCCACCGGTGCCTCCCATGGTATTGCTGCCGTCACGGTCCGAGTCGATGCGGGGATCCATAGCGTTCGCAATCTTGGAGTTGTGCGGGCCGTGGGAGCCCTCAGTTGTGCCGGAGCTGCCGAATGTGTTTCCTGTGGAGTGGCCACCGAGGCCGCCGGTGGTGGTGTGGCTGCCGTAGCCGCCAGTGTTGCGTCCCATAGTGTTGCTGCCGTCACGGTCGGAGTCGACACGGGGATCAGCTGCGTTGGCCAGACGAGAGTTGTGGGGGCCGTGGGAGCCTTCGGTCGTACCGGAGCTACCGAATGTGTTGCCGGTGCTGGAGCCGTAGGTGTTGCTGCTGCTGCCATGTGTGTTGCCGATACCACTGCTGCCGTACTCGCCGTGGCCGGCGGTGCGGAGGCCAGTGTTGCGGGAGCGGTCCATGTCAGAGTCGACACGGGGATCGGCGGCGTTGGCAACGCGAGAGTTGTGGGGGCCAGCGGTGCCTTCAGGAGCCGAGTGCGAGCTGGAGTGCTTGTCGCTGGAGATGGCGTCCTTGACCTTGTTGATGATGTTCGACATGTTGGGTGGTTGGTTTTGTGTTGTTGTTAGGGTGTAGGAGTTTGAAGTGCTTGTTTGTTCTTGGTAGTGAAGAGTGTTGTGCTTTGTTTGCTTTGTGATGATGAAGGAAGAAAAGACTAGCCGGGAGGGTGGGAAGCAGTCCTTATATCCTTCTTCGAGAGAGCTCTCCTCCCCCATGGCGTCACTGCCAGGTGTTGACATAACCTCATCACAACCTCAGTCACCAGCCGCACACCCATCTCGATGCATGGTAGGTACCAATCGGCTGGTCCTAGATGAAAGGGCCAACCGATGGGACATTGCGCACATCCACTGTGACGCGCACGGTGGGCTGAGATGGAAAGGGCCTCTTACCTCATTGTCGTCATAGTGTGTATATTCAAAGCGGTTCACCGTAGCTGTAAATGAAAGGCGCCTTTGCCCTGAAAGGGCCGATGCTGCAAACCTGCAAACAGCGCCGCCAAGTGCCCGCCCAGAGCCCGCTCCAAGTCTTCTTCTCCAGGCCACCCGCCACTAAACCTTCCTGCCCGCGTCGCCTGGCCTTGTCCAAACCTGGCAGGATTTTCAAGGCAGGCTCGAACACGGGGCCAAGCAAAAGACGAAGCTTCTCCACAAGAAGAGTTCCGAGTGGTCGTAGGTGGTGATCAGAGGTTAATCAGGGTCCCTTCGGATCCACCTTGCCGACCCGACCTCCACGTGCAACGTCATTCCAGCAGCCCTTTCTCGGCTTAAAGATGTACCTGCAGGAAAAGAGGATCACTGTGGCTGTGACGTTTCACACAACACGGGTTCTTTCCAAGGAGGCTCTTTCCCAAGTCGCCATCTGATCGGTGAATTTCATGCTAGCCCCCGAAGGAATGACGTCCCTAATACTCGGGTCAGCTGAGAGCTCGGTCTGGACTTGGTTCACTTCCTTGCTGAGCTTGATTACTGTGGATAACCTATCCGTAAAACCAAGCTTTGAGGTTTGGCAGTAGCGGGTACTCACAGGGCTGTTGTCCTTTGTCAGTTCCAGTATGGATACGAATACCCCGTAAAACCCAACCCACATGGGGAAAGATGGGACGGAGGTGCCGTTCAGCGGTGTGGCTGGTGAATTCGCTCTTTCCTTGCCCGCATCATGTGGATGGAAATTGGAATGGGCATTGCGTAGCAGTGTGGCTGGATCGGCGGTTGTGGCGTCATTGCAGACGACCCTGCGATCCGCCGCTTATTACCCCACACTATTCTGCCAAGAAATCAGGGAGCTTCAACGTCATCGGTTCATCGATCGACTGGCTTTGCCCGGGCACGGGTAGGCAATTCGACTTTCTGCACTCTGAATTTTTGCTATTCGCACATCTGTTTCGGAATTTCCCCATGCTGTGTTAGGGGCGGATTTGGCTTGCCAAGAAATTCAGCTACACGACAGGTTCGTTCGCCGAAGCGGTCGGGCTTGGTAGAATGTTCTCGAGATATCACGAGCTTGAACGAAACATGCACATCATCACCACATTGCTAGGTAGGTTAGTCTTTAACGAGCCTGATTAAATGAATCACTTGAGTAGACAGATTGGAGAACCAAAGTGATTCCCGGTGATTTTATAGATTTGACCTTCAAAATCGGCTGAAAAGAGCAGAGCGCCAGGCTACGGTCATTCATTCGGTCGTCGAGAGACACTGATTCGAGAAACACGTACACACGTCAAGAGCAATTTCAACATGTCTCAATTAACCACCGCGGAGAAACATTAAACTAAATACATATTAAATAGAAAATCGTGAGAAAAGGGGTATCATGGTCGTAGGGTAAATGCAAGCGTCAATGCTGCGAGGCTTTGTCGGGGTGCTTTAGAAGAGAGACGGTTGAGAGTTCTCCGAAGTCATCTGTAGCATTCCCAAGTCGATGGTCTCTAGCCGTTGCCTTTAGACGCGCGAGCGATACCAGCGGCGGCGGTGATAAGTTCCGGTGGCGGGCGCATGCGCCGGCGCAGTATGGCGGCGAACCCAGTAGATGCTATTATGTGTAGTCAGCAACTCCAACTCCTATAATATCATTAGAGGGAATACATACCCAAGTAAGGCACTAACGAGCCAGCAGATAGCACTCAAAAAGGCAAACGCAATATCGGCCTTCCACTCGCCGCAGGTTTGCCCACGTCCGCTCAGCGCGACGCCGTTCCAGTCAAAGACGTAGCCGCAGGCGCCGTTGAGCCAGTTGACCATCAGCCCAAAGGCGACGAACCACATGACGGAAATAATAAAATCGGCCGGCCAGTGGATGAAGGAGCCGCTGAAGGGGAAGAGCCAGATGATAGCCAACAAAATCGAAAGACCCGCCACGACCTCGGTATAAATAAACCGGCCGTTGTCCCACGCCGACGTGCCCTCGGTCGCGTGGAGGTACTTGCCCGTCAGCCCGGCGACGATGGCGGCGAACGCCAGCTCCGCCAGCCGGAGGATCATGGAGAAGATGTCTGCGAGGATCATTTTGGCGACTTTTTACGAGGTTCAGGTCGTGGACCAACACAGCTTTGATACGACACTCAGGTAGTACTACTGATGAAGAAATTTGGAGATGAGAGAAAACAGTTGGCATTAACAGCCACTGAGATGGGAAATGCAAAGATATATGTGCCACAACAGCCGGCCGGGCAGACATCACACAAAGCAGAAAATCAGGTTGGCCGACTGACTGCCAGGCTGGCAGGTTGCATTGTTGGGCACACACACACGCGCGGGAACAAATCACGGTCCAAGGAAATCATGGGAGGAAAAAAAGAGGACAGTGAGATTGATGCATCGTCATAGGCCGGCCTCACCGCCGTCGGCCAACATATTCTACAGCTGACTGACTGACAGGTAGGGGTCGGGCCGCCGTCGCCAACCGAGACAGCCAGAATCTCATCTGGCTGGCTGTCTCAAAGACAAAAAGAAGGCTCAAACAAAAAGTTACAGGGCCGTGTCGACGTCACAGGGGACCAGGGGGGCCCTCTTTTCCATCTCCCCTCTCGCTTGGTTGCGCAGGAAAAGGTGACCCTTGCTTGTGCGAGGATGAAACAAGATCTTGTTCACTTTTGCGGCGTATACCCTTCTTCGATCAAATATCACGGCAAGATGCGATTGGTGGTTGTGGTTGTGGTTGTGGTGGTGTGTGGCTTGTGTGGTTGTGTGAAAAGTTTCATATCGGCCACAAGCACCTTGTGACATCATTATGGCGTTACTTGTGCCAAGCCCATTGGCTGACTTCAGTCTTGGATCTCGAACACCAACCACCACCACACCACGATCCCGTTTGGTGATCACCCCAAGATTTCCATTTTTTCCGAACTTGCTCGGAACCAACAATGAGGTTGGTTTTGAACGCTC